GGGCGCGAGCTGCAGGGCTGGGCGCGGGCTGCCTCGGGCCATTGCGGGCCTGTGCGGGCCTGGGGCCATTTTTTCCACACTTAGGCATATTTTGAGTTTTTTCGACCAATTTTTGACCTGATTTCACCCAAATCTCTTCCACACTCCCCGAAACTTTCTCGATAAAATTTTTGGCCCAGCACTAACAGGTCGGTTCTGCCGAGCGGGTCGGCACGGGCACTTCTCAATAATTTCCATAGTTAGCTCAAATTTTCAACACTCCACCATCTTTCAACCCATTTTTCAATAAAATCTCGGCTCCGAGCCTCGTTTTTCTTCTCCAAAAATGTCGTGTTCGTGTGGCTAGCGGGGCTATTTATTTACGATAAAATGCGAAAAACGAGAAAACGCAAAAACAGTGGGTTGCCTCCCACGAAGCGCTCAATTTAATGTCTTGAGCTCGACGTCCCCAACAAAAATCAACCGGGATCTAGGAAAAAATGTCGATCATGCCACGCCTTTGTATTTTCCAATAGTAGACGAGTCGGTAGCACCGAACAAAGGCGGGCCCAATACACTCTCGTGGCCGAGTTCTTGTGACTCCGAGCACGGATATCAATAACTACCAAGAAAAGAGATGAATCTTTACGAATCAAGGCCCCATACTCGACCTCCAGAAATATAAAAATATCCGTTGAGCACGTCGAATCAATCCCAGGTATCGTTTGCACTATCTCGAACGTGTACTCATCAAGCTCAAACATCGGGAGCACGGGCGTAGGCACACTAAACTCCTCCAAATGGTCACGATCCCCAATAATACAAAACGAAGACCCAAAGGACATAGGAACCACGTCATACTCCACATCACAAGTCGACTCATCAATCAATGCACACCTCGGGTCAACGAAATCACATAATAGCTCGTAATCCACCTCAACAACATCCACAAAATCTTTAACGACCACATTCTCCTCCTCAATATCATCCTCCCGAGCACTATCAACACCGTTAGACACAATTGAATCCTCAAATGAATTCTCTCTCATCCCATACACAATATCAACACCCGAATCTATACACCCACTCTCAACAATATAATCAAAGCTCAAAACACTATCACCGGAAGAGAAATTTGACGTACCTAATGTAGAATGCACGGCCGAATCATCAAATGAGGGAATTTCTTTAACAATCAAATCGTTGATGTCCTCACTCGTGTTGAGAGATTGTGTTCCATCATAAACGAGAGCGAGGCCCACCTCTTTCAAGGAGGCAAACCTATCCACCATAGCTCGAAACTCGCCTTCTAACCGAGTGCTCTCTCGAATAACCCTCGCCGATAAAGAACAATATTTACCGAGCGGAATGTGCAATGCGACCAAGTCGAGAAAGGATACCACGTGATATAGCCACACTGGCTCATAGCGGTTCATATCATCACGGTTCGAAACTATCAAGTCGACTTCAACACAGTCGACTCCGCCAGTAAGGTTCCACGACACTCAGTCAAGAATCCCGGCTCTCGACCGAGTCGACGTACACCTGTCGACTAGAATAAGTCGACCTCTGGCAAGACAACGATCAGACATATCAGGGTCCACTAACGGTTGAATACGACCCAGTCGACTCGACTCAATATCTCAGGTCGACTGAAGGAGTCTTGCAGTTCGTGGTTCCTGATATCTTCGACACACCTCAGCATATTGAGAAAGAGTTAAGGATAAGACGGAAGCTAAGGAAGGATCTAGATGCTGACTAAGAAGTAGGCAGAATACGAACCGACCGGGGCATTCTGGACATTTCCATTAAGTCGGTCGGGGCACTTTAGGGACTTCAGGTAAATATTGCACTTCTATATAAAGGACTGAGGTAATCCCAAAACCCTAACTCCCATTCATTCCATATTCTTTCATTACTACTGCTGCTCTCATAGAAGCTCCCCTGATCTCTTTCACATACTGACTTGAGCGTCGGAGGCTCTTCGCCGGAAACCCCTCCGGCGTTGAGTTCTTGCAGGTGTTCTTGCGGCTCAACAACGGTTCGAACGCCATCACATCAGATCTAAGCTCATTCGCACCGGTTCATCCCAAATCCGGATGTTTTCCCATTGGACCGTTCCAGATCTGAGAAGAGACCCATCATTTTGGCGCCGTATGTGGGGAGTTCTTGAAAGAAGTAAGAGCTTTACACCTAGTTTGGATCTGTTACCGATGGCCGACAAGGAAGGACCGTAGAAAAACTTGAACGAAGATTTCAGGGCGGCGTGGACTGACAAGCGACCCCCGCCGATTCCCAACCTCAGACCGCCACTCCCAGTGTTCGGTTTTCCACCATTTGGGGCACACGCGCCGTCAGGAGGGCGTACGGGGGAAGAAACGCCCATCACCCCACCAGGGGTCAAGATCCCAGTGCTCACTCAAGGGGAGACCAGTCTCGTGAGGAGCACGAGCGGAGAAGTTAACGGTCGTGATTCAATCGAGACACTCCTAAGTCTGGGAAAGCAGCCTGGACCGCCCGAGCCAGGACAGAGGCCGCCGCCCCAAGGCGAGGAGCAAATGTTGACCATAACACGGGGCGAGATGCAGCGGATGATTGCCGAAGCTGTGGCTGCCAAAATCAAACAAACACCAGTCGAACAACCCAGGGTGGAGCAACCCCGAATCGAGCAAGCTAGGATCGAACAACCTCAAAATGAGCAGCAACCTCCTGAACGCGAACAACAGGCACAATCGCATGAGAGGCAGAACAGGAGGGTAGACGAGGAGGAGTCCTCTGTCAGAACAGTCAATCCACAAGCCAGAAACGACACGCTGGAGCAGCTGTTAGCGCAGGTCCGAGACTTGCAGGCTCGGGTCGAAGGAAGGAAGACTGGAAGCTCGAGGGGACACCCTTTTTCACAACATATTCTAGATGCCGACTTGCCTCAAGGGTTCAGGGAGCTTAATATCTGGTATGACGGGTTGACTGATCCCTCCCGACATCTTAGAAGTTTCGAAAACATGGCAGTATTGCACCGATACAACGACCCCGTTCAGTGTCGAGCATTCCTGACGACCCTGCGAGGGCCCGCGCAGGATTGGTTTCATCAATTGCCCCCGGGGGCCGTCAGGGATTTCGATGGATTTAGCTCGAGTTTCCTAAACCAATTCGCAAGTGTGAAAGCCCAAGAAAAGTCGTACCTTACTTTGATAGGTATGCAACAGAAGGAAGGCGAATCATTGAGGGACTACGTGGCGAGGTACACAAGGGCATGTGTCGACGTCCCCTCGGCCATTGAGGAGATCAAGTCGGGAGGACTCACTCGAGGGCTACTCCCGGGATTGTGCAGAAATTCCTTAGCGAAGCGGCCTGGGAGGACGTTCGATGAAGTATTGGGAAGGTGCGCCAAATACATGAATGTCGAGGAAGCCGAAGCCGACTTTCTGCAAGCAGCTAAGCAAAAAACTGAGCCTCAGGACGAGAAGAAGGATAAGAAGCTTGTCGCGACAACTGAAAGGAAAGGATCCCCAAGAGCCGAGAGAGAGGGACGATCGAAGGGGTGGAGGACAGCCCAATACACCCCTCTGTCGGCCTCGCATGCAAGGATACTGGAGGTTATCGAAAGAGAGATCCGTGATGACGTTGTCAGGTGGCCACGAATGAGAAAAGATGGGCCGACAAAACCTAAAAGTAACCTGTATTGCCGATTTCACAAAGACTACGGCCATAACACCGATAAATGTCGGCACCTAAAGAATGAAATCGAGAGACTAATCAAAGCAGGCCATCTGAAGGAGTTCGTTTATAAAGATCGAGAGCGAACTAGTCGACGAAGGGAGAGAAGCAAAAGCCCTCGCAAGAGGGCAAGAACACCTGATAAGGAAGAGCTTCCCAAAAAAAGAGGAGTAATTCATATGATATTTGGAGGGCCAACTGATGGCGACTCAAACCGGGCTAGAAAAGCATATGCTCGAGGGCATCATGGAAAAACCGAAGTGCAGCAGGTCGAAGAGGATGGTCCAATGATGAATTTCGGACCAGCAGACGTAGGAGCGGTTGAGAGACCTCATAACGATGCCTTGATGATCACAGCCCAGATATCAGGCTACGAAGTCCAGAGAATCTTTGTCGACACAGGGAGCTCGGTGAATGTGATTTTTTTCGATTGCCTTAAACGCATGGAACTCGACATTGAACTCTCACCTCTCCACACTTCACTTTTTGGATTTAATGGCTCGGAAGTCGCCCCCCTGGGGGAAACCACTCTCGCTATCGTCCTCGGGGAAGGCGACTTAAGGAAGGTAAAAATGGTGCGATTTGTTGTGGTCGACGTCGAGTCGGCTTATAATGTGATTCTGGGAAGGCCAGCACTCAACGCATTCCAAGCGGTAGTGTCAACCTATCATATGAAGCTAAAGTTCCCTGTCGGAGATAAGGTAGGAGAGGCCCGAGGTGACCAGAGGCTGTCGAGAACCTGCTATCAGATTGCAGTAAGGACAAACCAACGAACGGAGGTGAAAGAAGGAGAAAAGTCGGTGTCAAATGAAAAAAGATGAAGGGAAGGTGATCTTGAGCCACATGGGGAATTAATGGAAATTCAAATCGGGGAGAGAGAGGAGCAGACTACGAAAATAGGGCGAGAGCTGGAAGAAGAGTTACGTCGACAATTGGTGGGGCTGCTGAAAGAATTCAGGGATATATTCGCTTTCTCCCCTTAAGAGCTAACAGGAATCGATCCCGATGTCATGGAGCACAAGCTTAATGTCGACCCCCTGAAAAAGCCCGTGAAGCAACGACTTAGACACCATGGTGCAGAAATCGACAAAGCCATAGAAGTCGAGGTGGACAAATTGTTGAAAGCCAAACATATCAAAGAAATTCAATTCCCAGAATGGATATCGAACACGGTGATGGTAAGGAAAGCGCTAAATAAGTGGCGTATGTGTATCGACTTTCGTGATTTAAATTTAGCTTGCCCGAAGGACCACTACCCCCTGCCGAGAATCGACCAGCTGGTCGACTCTACTGCTGGCTGTCAATTGCTAAGCATGATGGACGCGTCCCAGGGGTACCACCAAATTCCCTTGGCGCCTGAGGATCAAAGCAAAGTTAGCTTCGTGACGAGCAAAGGGACGTATTGTTATGTCGTTATGCCTTTCGGACTCAAGAACGCAGGGGCAACATACCAAAGGTTGATGGATCGAATGTTCAAATCACAGATCGGGCGAAATATGGAAGTTTATGTGGACGATATCTTGGTGAAAAGTAGGTCCTCGATCTCGCATGTGGAGGACTTAAGGGAAGCGTTTACGATACTAAGAACATTTGGGATGAAGCTGAATCCGAGTAAATGTGCCTTTGGAGTGAAGGCAGGACGATTCCTGGGCTATATCGTAACGGAAAGAGGCATTGAAGTGAATAAGGATAAAGTGCAAGCCATACTCGACATGACCCCACCAAAGAATATTAGAGAAGTACAAGTCCTGACAGGTCGAATTGCAGGCCTAAGTCGATTCATAGCCCGGGCGGCAGAAAGGAGCTTCCCTTTCTTCAAATTACTCAAGAAAAAAGCTTTCCAGTGGGGTGACGAGGCTCAGATGGCGTTTGAAAAACTGAAGGAGTTTTTGAGCGAGTTACCCTTGTTGACAAAGCCAGAGCCTGGCGACGAGTTGGTACCTTATATCTCGGTGGGAGTCTTTTCTTTGAGTTCTGTGTTGCTGCGAGAAGCTGAAGGGGCTCAACAGCCGATCTATTATACAAGTCGAGTGCTCCAGGGCGCAGAAACAAGGTATTCTGAGGTCGAGAAGGCCGCACTAACGTTGGTGCTCACAGCCAGAAAACTGAGGCCGTATTTCCTAAACCATGTGATAATAGTGAGGACAAATTTCCAGCTCGGCGAGACATTGGGCCGACCTACCGTGTCAGGTCGACTCGTAAAATGGGCGGTCGAACTCAGCGAATTTTCCATCAAATATGAACCCCGACGGGCTATAAAGGCCCAAGCTCTAGCCGACTTTATCCAAGAAGGGACCAAAGGAGAAAGCAAGAAATGGATGATGCACGTCGACGGGTCCTCGTCAGCCAGGGGATCTGGTATTGGAGTCGTCCTAGTATCTCCCGAAGGTGAGCAACTCGACTTCGCCATCAGAATGGGATTTAAAGCCTCGAATAACGAAGCAGAATATGAAGCCTTGATCAAGGGGATTCAACTGGCAATCGGAGGTGGGGCAACGGAGATAGTGGCACATTCCGACTCACAGCTTGTCGTGGGGCAAGTGTTGGGGAACTGCGAAATTAAGGAGGATCGAATGTTGAAATATGTCGAAGAGATCCAGAGTTTGGTACAAAATTTGGCAAAATTTGAACTAACACAAGTACCTCGAGAAGAAAACAAGCGAGCCGATTGGCTCGCGAGGATGGCAAGTTCAAATGAAGGAAAGATGGGAAATCAAATCACCACCCTGCATTTGGAGGGGAGCGCTCTAAAAGAAACAATGGAGGTCGAGGAGAAGCAAGATTGGAGAAAAGCAATTTGTGAACTATTACAAGGTCAAGTACAGGAAGGAGACAAACAGGAGGTAGAAAAAACAGCCCGATATTTGAGTAAATACTTTGAAATCGAAGGGATCTTGTATAAGAAATCAATGGTTGGGCCCCACCTGCGGTGTGTTTCTGAAGAAGAAGGGAATCATGTCTTGAGAGAGATCCATGAAGGATGCTGCGGGTCGCATGTAGGATCGCGAGCTCTAGCAGGGAAAGCTCTTCGAGCGGGCTATTACTGGCCTAGAATACGGAAAGCGGCCGAACAGCTGGTCCAAGGATGCGACCGATGTCAGCGCCATGGTCAGATTCCCCATATTCCAGCTGAGGCAATGACGACTATCAATTGTCCAATCCTCTTCGCCCAATGGGGAATCGACCTGGTAGGACCACTGCCGATGGGAACAGGTCAAAGGAAGTTCATGGTAGTCGTTGTCGACTACTTCAGCAAATGGGTGGAGGCGGAACCTCTGGCCAAGATTACCGAAGACAAAATGATACAGTTCTTGTTCAAAAATATTTGCTGTCGATTCGGGATCCTCACAAAGGGTGCCCGAAAGTAGCGCCTGGTTATACACAGCCCAGTCGATACCAAAAGGTGAGGCATGTGAATGGAGAAAATCCTCCGGCTCGACGTTTAGATGAGAACATGGCTCGACATCGTTCAGATGAACAGAGTCCGAGTCCGAATAGTTATCAATTTCACGGGCAAGAGAACCGGAGACGGGGTCAGAAACAGGGTCGAGGTTGGAATCTAAGAAGATAAAGAATGCAATCAAGGAAAGTTGTCAGAAATCGCGATTCGATTCAAAGAAAAGGGTCAACAAAATAACCAGGATGACACGAGAAACGTCTCGACGACGGGAAGAAAGGGAGAAAAAATAAGTAATTCCCATATCGATTCGACTCGACAAAAGAACCGATCTCTCATAACGAGACGGCTGGCAAACGAAAACACTCAAAGGAGATAAAAGATCGGCAGATAAAGATCTAACAAAGAAAAACCACTAGAATTTTCCAAGAATTCCCAGAAAACATGATGAACTTACAGGCCCCAAAACATAAAAAAAAAGGGGGGGGGGAGAGAAAGTTATCTTAAACACACCGATAAATTAAAAAGCAAAGCAAAGGAAACTTACTCATACTCATGATGCTTGACGGAAAATCCTGAGAAATCGGAGAAGGATGCCGGAAAATATGAGCGCCGGAAAGCTGTGTTTGCCAAAGAAAAACAGAAAACTTGAAGGAGATGAACGCGAAAAGTGGGGACGAGAAAAGATAGGGATTATTATAGAGATGGCAGAGAAACCCCAGCCCTCCGATTAAAGTCACTCTCAATGGTTGAGATGGTGCACAGAATACGAAGCGGTGGAGAGAGAAAACATCTTATCTTTTGAATTTTGAAATTTGAAAAGATCCAGACTTATCCAATCAGTCCAAAATACGATTGGATAAACACCGTTTCGCAAGTCGTAGAAACGACCGGATATAATTTAGGGCGACGACAGGCGATAGGATATGAGAGAAGACTCGAGGAAGACACTCGACCATCCAGAACTTACGCTTAAGCTCAGAATCGCTTCGAGTAAATTTTGGGGGGACTAGATGATATAGCCACACTGGCTCATAGCGGTTCATATCATCACGGTTTGAAACTATCAAGTCGACTTCAACACAGTCGACTCCGCCAGTAAGGTTCCACGACACTCAGTCAAGAATCCCGGCTCTCGACCGAGTCGACGTACACCTGTCGACTAGAATAAGTCGACCTCTGGCAAGACAACGATCAGACATATCAGGGTCCACTAACGGTTGAATACGACCCAGTCGACTCGACTCAATATCTCAGGTCGACTGAAGGAGTCTTGCAGTTCGTGGTTCCTGATAGCTTCGACACACCTCAGCATATTGAGAAAGAGTTAAGGATAAGACGGAAGCTAAGGAAGGATCTAGATGCTGACTAAAAAGTAGGCAGAATACGAACCGACCGGGGCATTCTGGACATTTCCATTAAGTCGGTCGGGGCACTTTAGGGACTTCAGGTAAATATTACACTTCTATATAAAGGACTGAGGTAATCCCAAAACCCTAACTCCCATTCATTCCATATTCTTTCATTACTACTGCTGCTCTCATAGCAGCTCCCCTGATCTCTTTCACATACTGACTTGAGCGTCGGAGGCTCTACGCCGGAAACCCCTCCGGCGTTGAGTTCTTGCAGGTGTTCTTGCGGCTCAACAACGGTTCGAACGCCATCACATCAGATCTAAGCTCATTCGCACCGGTTCATCCCAGATCCGGACATTTTCCCATTGGACCGTTCCAGATCTAAGAAGAGACCCATCACCACGGTAGAGTCGAACTTCTCAAGTGTAGCTTGAAGAACGGATGGAATCGGAATGCATCTCCAACTATAAAACTCCTCAATGATTGACGCGAGGCTCGCAAGTGCCTCTTGAGTGCTCGTCAAAACCTCTCGGTGACGTTCGGAAGGCACAACCGTTGATGGAATTGAAGCTTCGGTCCTCGGTGTACAAGGTTGGCCAACCAATAGGTGCTCAAATGATGGAGACGATGGATCATGGGACTTGGTTTCTTCGTTTTCGGATGTGGGAGCCATTGAAGCACGAAGGGATCGATTGCACTCCTCTAAATGCTCCATAATCTCGGCTAGATTGACTCGAGAAGATTCTCGAGTCGGCTCGGGTGGAGGTGTCTCTTCATAGTAAACGGGAGGTGGCGGATAATAGTGAGGTGTCTCATCGTGTCCCGAAGAGTAATAACCGAAATCAACTTGGGATGGCGGGTAAGAAGGGCTCGGATACGGATAGGGCGGCCCTCCATACGAGTATATTTCCTCATGGTAGTTGTCGGGGTATCCACG